GTCTCACACATACTAAGCAAGTGCTGTACAGTACCACTGAGCTACATCCCCAACCCTTTAAGCATTTTTTTCAGCCTTCAATCTAACTTTCAGGCACTTTTTTGTGGGGTACTGAGGATTGAACCCAGGGGCACTTTACCATTGACCTACATCCCAAGCCCTTTATTTTTTTTTATTTTAAGACTGGGTTTTGGGGCTGGGGATGTGGCTCAAGCGGTAGCACGCTCGCCTGGCATGCGTGCGGCCCGGGTTCGATCCTCAGCACCACATACAAACAAAGATGTTGTGTCCGCCGAAAACTCAAAAATAAATATTAAAAAATTCTCTCTCTCTCTCTTCTCTCTCTCTCTCACTCTCTCTTAAAAAAAAAAAGGACTGGGTTTTGCCAAGTTGTTGAATCTGGCCATGAACTTAAGATCCTTCTGCCTTAGCCTCATCAGTTGCTGGGGTTATAGGTGTGCATAAGATGTTTGTGTCTCTTCATGCATATACCAAAAAAAAAAAAAAGCCATGTGAGGAAGAAGGTACCTACCAAGCACCAAGAACCCAAGTATGTCAAGCCTTTCATCCTCCAGAACCATAAGAAATGAATATTAGTTGGTTAAGCCACTGAGTTGATGGTATTTTTATAGCAACACAAAGTGATTAAAAATACACCTTCAAGAGCATATTCAGGTTCCTTTCAGTAGAGATTTTTATACATTTGCTAGAATTATTGGTTTAGTTTATTCTGACTCTGCTTAGTTAAAAATTACAACATTCTTGTATTGTAGATTTTAATTTTGGAAATTGCTTTTTCTCATTTTGCTCATCATGATCTTATTCAAAATTATAATATTCCCCTCAAGTTACTTCCACCTACAAAGTTGTTTGCAGCTCAAGATCACACTTTGATTGATTGGGTGATCCAAGGTTGACGTATTTAGAGGAAAGAAAATATCTCTGTGTGTGGTTTTCTGGGGTCCAAACCAAGGATATTGCACATGTTAAAGGTGTTCTATCACTGAGCTATATCACCAAACCCAGAAAATGCCTTTTATTTGACCATCCTCACTGGCTAGTGATTTAGTCAAAGGGTTGTGTGGGAATTATCCAGAATAAAAGTGTCCTAACTTCCTCTTTATTGAGTAATGAAACATTGTAATGAAAATGCATATTGTGGGGCTGGGGTTGAGGCTCAGCGATAGAGCACTCACACGTGCGAGACTCTGGGTTCTATCAGCACCACATAAAAATAAACAAGTGAAATAAAGGTGTTGTGTCCAACTACAACTAAAACATAAAATATAAAAAAAGAAAATGCATGATGTCAGGAACAGTTTTTGTTGTATTTAATATAGATAGTTTCACTTAGTTGTATGTGATATTTATGCAAGGGCCATGTTGATCTTTTGTAAATGTGCTGCTGAAGCAAGCACAAGAACATAGTTTTGAAAGACCCATTCTAAAAATGATTTTCTTGTGAGCCCTACATCTTTATTAACTTTAAATTTCACAGATGACACAGTGTTCACTTGCACACTTTTGGGCAACATTTTTTTTTTGTACTGGAGTTTGAACCTAGGGTCATGTAACCAATTTTGAGACAGGGTCTCACTAAGTTGCTTGGGGCCACCCTAAATGGCTGAGGCTGGCTTTAAGCTCTGGATCCTCTTGCCTTAGCCTCTGGAGCCACTAGGATTAGAGGAGAGTGCCACCACACCTGGCAGGCAGCTTCTTTTTTCAAAGGACCATTGATTTTAACTTACTTAGAGTCTCATCTTCATTTGCATGTAAAAAGCCAAAGAGGTGTTCTTTGTTTCTTTTTCTCCTGGGCTGGTATCTTTTGTCTGTCTGAGTAGTTTCTCACAATGACTTCCTAACTTTGTCATGTCAGTTTCATCCCCTTTTGTACTACTGACTTAACACAGATTCTCTTTTTGATTCACAGGGACCATTTCTGGGCAAATGGCTCAACACTTGGTAAACACTGAGAATTTAGAGAATACTGATGATCTGATATAATCAGGTTCTTAGGAAGAGGACTCAGTAAATATTTATAGAATACCTCTCTTACCCAGAGGACTCTGCTAAGCACTGCTAGAGATAACAATTTACGGAGAGATACTAGATGAAAATAAGACCCCTGTCCTTCAGGGAAGCATAACAAGTAGAAAATGCATAGGATATGGCAACAGGAGACCTAAACTCCTGTCTTAAATCTGCCACTAGTAATCCCTGCAATCCTTAGGAAGTAATGTCATACTTTTCATTTTCTTTCTTCCTTCTTTTGTCTTTTTTTTTTTTTTTTTGTGGCACTGGGGATTAAAACCAGAGCCTCATGCAAAAATTCTACCACTGAGCTACAACCCAAGCTTCTTAATTTCTTTATATGTAAAAGAGAAATGTAAATAAAACCTACTTCAAAAGGTTAAAATGTACCTAATAAGAATAAAGCAAGATAATTGTGGGTAAGGACTTGTTAACAAACCAGAAAACTGTTTTAAAAATGTAAGGAAATGTTGTTCCGGATGTAGTGAGGGGCCCTACAAGGACCAAACTGCTTTACTCTTGGAGGCGGCTGACAATTTTAGTGAGGACAGCTCTAACTCTCTGGGACTCAGGAAGGCCCACAGCAAGGTGCTTGTAGCAGGGTGTACAGGTGTCCCCGCCTATGTGAGGTTTACGTGGTCCTTTGTAGAAAGGGCTACCTGTCGCTGGGAAGCCAGCCGAAACAACGTGGATTCGCAACACTGCAAATTGGGGACAGGAAACCTTGGCACCAGAAGTCAGTAGGCTACTTCGCTTCAAGGTGACTGACGGTTTGCGGGGCTATCGTAGACTTGCAGTAGACCTGGAGACTCGGTGTCATTAATCCCAGTGCAAAACTGGAGCTAGAAGCAGGATCCTTCAGGATGGCAAGGACTCGCGGGACAGTTCCTGAGTTGGCTAGGAAGACACTTCACAGGTAGAGGTGGGAAGATGACTGGGCGTGGCTGTCAACGCAGTTACCGGAAGCGCATATTTCCTTTTCCGGTTGAGGTTCAGACCACAGACCCGAGACCCAAGAAATAGGAAGTTGGGGTGCGGTGTTGGGGAGGTGGAGAGACCGGGTGGGTGTCTGATTTTTCAAGGCCCCTGCTCCCCAGAGGCCTTGGAGCTTCTCTCGCCAGGCATCACGCGTTTTCTTTACCTGGCCTCCCCGAGTGGCGCGCGAGTGGAGTTCCGCTCTACAGAGCGGCGGGGAGGCGTGGAGACTTTATAGTGGAACTGAGGAAAAGGAAAGTGGCCGCCACCGAAGCCCAGAGGTGACTGGAGGTAACGGAGAAACTAATCTACCCTTTGGATTCGGTTGGCGAGCCCCCGAGAGACAGTGGTCGCTCCTGCCTTTTGCAGCCGTTGGGGTTGCTGCGTGGCGGCGAGTGGGGGCGGGGATGGGACTCGGCGTCTTTCAGTACGCGGTGGCTTCGTTGCCAGGCGGCAGATCCGCGGGAGAGCGGGCGGGACTTGTCATCTGCACGGCCACTTTTAATCTCAAGAAGCAATCTCTTTATTCCCAATGTACAAATATAACCCAGAGATGCTGGTGAAACACACTCAGACTACTCACATGTAGAGTGCCTACCGGCATCCCTGTGATTTGTCCATAAGGTGCAGCAAATTGGTGGTGGGGACTGGGGCAGTTGTGTCCACCACTGTACCTAGCGAAAATTCCGGATTTCCACTAGCTTATGAACATAACGCTAGAGAAGGGGCCATTTCAGCCCCAAAGACACTGGATTCTGTTGACACAAAAATCTAGGAAGTGTCCCTGTACCTCCTGAGCCTGCCTGGACAGCAAGGAACCACCCATTTCTTTGAATACCCATGACATTCTGAAAAGAATTTTTTTCACTGTCACTGCTGATCAGATTGTCAAATTCTATCCTCAGACTTGAGGATAGGGAAAGTCACTTCCTGAGGAACTGCAAAGTCAGATCCTCCCTGTCTATAAGAACCTTAATGCGTTCATCCTTCCTTCCCTCCCTTCCTTCCAGGTCTCCCTTCGTTCCCCCTCTTTCTCTCCCTTCCATCCTCCCCCCTCCCTCTCTTCCTACCCCCCTTTCTGTCTCTTTCTGTCTTCTACCTGGCATTTGGATATATTGTAAACAAAGGCCAGCTGTAAGTTTTTTTCCAGTTAAAGTAAGCACAAGAAATAAAAGACAGGTACAAATCTCCACATGCCCTTCATAAATCTTCCAAAGAAGTGCAGCTGTCCCCAAATTTAATCTGGTTGCTTAGTGGGAGAACATTTGCTGAGCAGAATAAGGTTACTTTTTTTCCTAATTATACCCCCAATCTCTGTTTTTCTATCAGTATTAATACAGTAGAATGAGAATAACAAATGGTCCATGAAGTAAAGGCTTCAGTCTTCACAAAAAGATGAAGTAGCATAGAAGTTATTTTTGTACTGACTAGAGGCGAAACACTGGGATGATCTGTTAAAATTTGGAAAAGCTCAAATATGCTCTAATTGAGAAGGTGTAACAGGAAGCACACAGATTAAGTATTGGATAATTTCAAAGCTGCTTTGGGCCCAAGGGTGCCTGTTTTCTTACCCACCAACCTTTCTCAAATGGAAAGAAAAAATTAAAAAGAACAACCAAAAAGCAGGAATGGGGGAGGAAGACATTGTTGGACATTTTTCTTCTATGAACTGTGCTTAGTTTTAAAGTTGAGTAACAAAGAAGAAAAACATACCTCTTAAAGTAACCTGTGATCATGAATGTTCTAATACTTGGCAGTTGATTTTAAAGGAGGAGGGTAAGGAATTTCATTTTTCTCTGATAGTAATTAGTGATTGAATATGTGTCATGTGGCTTTCTTTTTGACATGTACTTTTTTCTGCTCTCCCTCAAGTGCTCTTAGGAAGAAGATCTGTACATTGGTTTTGTACCAAGCCTGATGGGGCCTCAGTTGTCAGAGATGGCACCAGGGAACTGTCAGTGCCACACACAGGAATAAAACTGTTTCTAGAGCAAATGATGATGAGTGAGCTGAATGTAGATGCGTACTTGAACCCCCACATGGGGGCTATGTTCTGGGAGACTGAAGAAGCTGTGCAAGAAGGCTCCAGTCAGAGGGAGAAATACAGCCCACAAATAGAAAGCCTTCATCCTGAGAGTGCCCGCCAGCACTTCAGGAGCTTTTGTTATCTTGAAGCACCTGGGCCACTAGAAGCTGTTAACCAACTTCAGAAATTATGCAATCAGTGGCTGAGGCCAGAGACCCACTCAAAAGAGCAGATCCTGGAACTGCTGGTGCTAGAACAGTTCCTGACCGTTCTTCCCAGGGACATCCAGAACTGGGTGCAGAAGCATCATCCACAGAATGTTAGACAGGCTGTGGTCCTGGTAGAACGCTTGCAGAGAGAACCTGGTGGAACAAAGAATGAGGTGAGAAGAAAGATTCCTTATATGTGCATTAAAATAGGATAAAGGTGGATATGTGTGGGTGGGCGTTATCAGGGAATGAGATGGATGAAGTCACACTTCTCTTGTGTGGAACTGAAATCACAGTCATGCAGCAGTAGTCAGTCAATAGGTTTCAGAGTTCCTGGCAGAGTCTTTTCTGGCCTTAGAGGGGAAAATGCACTTTTCCTTCTTTAGGGCCAGAATAAATTGGGGGATGGTGAGCCTAGTTTGGCATGGCCAAGGAGATAAGACTCAAGTGCTTAGAAATCAAAATAAAAGACAAGAAATAGTTGGGAAAGGGGAAACATTCCAAAAAGTGGATAGCACTTATAGAAACCAAAGGAGAGAAAGGGTAGCAAACAAAAATCAAAATCAAGTAACTCTGGGGAGATATCAAATTGAGGAAAGAAATGGAAAGCAAAAAAGGAAACAAAAATGGAAAGAAGAAAATGCCAATAGAGAAGTGGAGGGAATTGGGATGATGAGGGGCAGTGTCTTCTACTGGGAACACATACCTCTGTGCTGGGAAAAAAGAATCCTCTCTTAGTGGGACCACGTGTGTTTGACCTGCTTGAGAGTGGAGAGCCAAGGTATGTCTTTGGGAGATGACAGCACACTTCCTATACATAGCAATGTACCTGGAGGGATATAGGTAGGGCAGAGCGTATTTTTGGTATCTTACTGCAACCAAATCATGTGGAGGGAGGTTGGAGCCAATCTCTTCCCTCGTTTTCCCTTTCATCGGATCTCCTTTCACCATGAAATCCTTCCTTGTCTATAGGAAGATTGAAAGATCTGACTGACAAGATAAATACTTATTAATTCAACTCTTTATCTTTGGGAAAAAAATTTGAAGATTGAAATCCACTAAGGCAGGGATCCAAGTCAAAAAAGCAAGCTAATGAAGGCAATGTGAGAACAGCCACCCCACCTAACCCCGCTAATGGCTTGAACTGTGTCTGGGTACACAGGGTAGGGACTCTTGGCATGAAGGAGGGGAAACTGGAAGTAGGTACAGCTTTTTTCATTTTATCTTAATTTTCTTAGATTCTGTGTATACTTCTTCATAAGAACATAGCAACACATTTTTCTTCATCCTTTGTATTACTTCCTTTAATATCACACACTCCCCAAATCTGTGCTCTCTCTATTCTAGTGCCTCCCTCCTCCTCTACCACCAAACTCAAAGTGAGTTCTGTGCTAATGAGGATGGGGATTATTTCTAGGTCACAGCCCATGAGCTGGGAAAGGAGACAGTGCTCTTGGGAGGAACAGCAGTGGCCCCAGGCTTCAGGTGGAAGCCAGCAGAGCCCCAAGCAATGGGTGTGTTCCAGAAAGAATGTTGCAATATATACCAGGTACTTCAAGAACTGCTGGGCTGGCATACTCACAAAGAAACCCAGCCTGTATATAAAAGAGGTGAGGTGCTTCATAATAATTATTTTCTTCTGGGAGCTGTGATAGTAATTGGTTTAGCTAGAATTTGTGAGAATTTTCCAGGTGCCCAGCTGTGCCTTGCCAGTTATGATGTTTCCCAGTGGGAGTGCAAAAGGTGGGTGAAGGTGGGAATTGGCCTGAGGTGCAGAAATTTTCAAACCACAGAACTCTTGTATTCACACCACAGTCTATATTAGAAATCTGAGAAGAAAGAAGATGATGAAACAGGGACAAGTAGGACCATTATACCCTTATAAGTTGCAGGAGAAATTGGGATCCAAAATGGGCTTAGAATGTGAAGAAAATGACACACCAAGAAAGAAATAAAAATCTCCAACGTTTCCTACTGTACACCAGGGGACCTTTGTACTTTGTATTCAAATGCCTCTAATTCTTGCTCAGTTAGGTGAACAATTTATTTTATAAGATTTAATCTAGGGCTGGGGTTGTGGCTTAGCAGTAGAGTACTTGCCTAGCATGTGTGAGGTGCTGGGTTCCATCCTCAGCACCACATAAAAATAAATAAAAAATAAAGGTATTGTGTCCAACAACAACTAAAAAAATATTTTAAAAGATTTAATCTACTTACTAGATTACCTTTTATTAATTTATCCCATGAAATCTGGAGAAATAGTGATCTGAGGAACTGGTTCTATGAAGGGTGGATATCTGATTGCTATTTCCCATGAGATGACAACTCTGGACATCACACACAATGCTTCTCACAGTGATCCATCTTTCTTGAAAGTGTCCCAACATTCTGTATTTTAGAATCAGCTCATGATGTTTGTAAACAGGAAAGAGAGAAATTTTCTCTGGCTCTTTTCCACCCACAGCTGTGCATACTCCACAGATTTTAGCCCTTTCTGAGCAGAAAAGCATCAAAGACTGGAAGATGGCATCAGAGCTCATCTGGCCTGAGTCCCAGGTGAGCTGCACTTTCCAGCTTTCTCAGGCAGACTCATCTCACTTTTTCCTGCTGCCTACAACCCATTAACCTAAGGTATTCCCAGCAGGTATTCTGCAGTGTGTTAGCCCCAAATGTTCTCCAGGTAACTGGGCTTGGCACATTGGGAATGGGAATTGGGTATCTCCCAGGCTGTTTACAGATCTGCTTGGCTCCTTCCTTTCTGCCATCTCACTCCCACTACCCCCTAAATCTTGTACTGCTAACTTCTTCAGCACCTGCCCTACCATGTAATTCAGAGATGGGTAGTAGGACAGCTTCTCCAGTGGCAAGTATTCAACCAAAACCTGTTCTCTTCTTTAGAGTTTGTTGACATTTGAAGATGTGGCTGTGTATTTTTCCGAGGAAGAATGGCAATTGTTGGACCCTTCTCAGAAGACCCTCTACAATGATGTCATGCAGGATAACTATGAGACTGTCATCTCTCTAGGTAAAGATTTTTTTCCCTTTGTACACAAGTTGAAAAATATGTCCTCAGTTTTTGGAAACTGCATCCCTATGAGAGAGCCCCTGTGTTCCAGCACCTTATTGTTTGAATTTGATGGTGTGGGAGAAAGGCACTTCTGTATTCTTTTTTTTTGTTCTTTAGTTGTAGATGGACACAGTAAGTTTACTTTATTTTTGTATGGTGCTGAGGATAGAACCCAGTGCCTCATGTGTGCCATTGAGCACTCTACCACTGAACCACAACCCCCAGCCCAAGGCACTTCCATATTCTAAGTAGAATTATCGATCTGTTGATAATGCCCTTACCCCATAAACCATATCATTCCCTTCTTAGTAATGGGCATCACTATTTATTCAACTGCTCAGGCCAGAAACCTCTCGGTCACACTTTTTTAAAAGTTTTTTTTTATAGTTATAGATGAATAGAATGCCTTTATTTTATTTGTTTGTTTTTTATGTGGTACTGACAATCGAACCCAGTGCCTCATGCATGCTAGGCAAGCACTCTGCACTGAGCCACAACCCCAGTCCCTCTTAGTCACTCTTTATTCCAGTCTTTCTGTTATATTCTACAGCCAATCAAGCAACAAGTCCTCTTTGCTCTGTCTTCAAATGTATCCTGAATCCAACCATGTCTCACACTCTTCCACTCTTACCACCCTAGTTGGAGCCACTTTCACCTCTAACCAAGTCTACCTTCAATAACACTAGATTCCTATTCCCCACATCATTTGCCTCTGTCTCCCTTAGGTTAAGTTCCTAGTTTCCTCATTGCATTTCTTCCCACATCCATAGTAGAATGTAAAGATGATATTAGATCCAAAATTCTGCCCACTTAAACATTTGAAATAAAAAGTTATAAAAAAAGAGTTATTCACTCTTCCTGAAAATAGTCAGGAATTATGGTGGCAGTTCATGACCTCAAGGTTTTATTCTCAGAATATTATTGTATTTTAAAGTGATCTATTTAAAGCAAGAAGAACCATAGATCGAAGTTCTCCAAGAGTACAAGGAAAGTCTTGGAGCATTTCCTACAGGTAAGTATATTCATCGGAAGAAGAGAAGTATTCTTTGGTAGGAACTTTATAGGGGTTTAATATCTTAAGATTCTGCTCTTATATTTTTCATTGAAATTTTTATTGTAGTCATTTTAGATTCACATGCAGGTTTAAAATATAATATAAAAGAGAATCTGTGTACACATTACTCAGTGTCTGCAATGATAACTTTTGCAAAAGTATATCACAATCAGACTATTGCTATTGATGTGACCTACTGATCTTAAGCAGATTTCCCAAATTTTACTCGAATTGTTGTATGTGTCTATTATTTCTGTACAGTTTTATCACGTGTAGATTTATGTATTCACCACTATAGTCACAACCATACTGGATAGTTCCCTTACCATAAAATTCCCTCCTATTGCCCTTGCATAATCACATATACTTCCATCCCTTTCCCCACTAATCCATTCCAACTGTTAATCTGCGAACATTCCTAACATTTTGGCATTTGAAAAATCTTATATGAATGGAATCATGAAATATGTGGTTTTGGGGGATTAGATTTTTTCATTTAGAATAATTTCCTAGAAATTCGTCTAAGTTATTAACATGTCTCAATGGCTCATTTCTCTTTAACCACTGAGTAGCATTCCACACAACTATCTTATATAGGTTTTTCTCCAGAGTGTTCATTTATCTGGGACACATGCTTCAAGGGTAGAATCACTGTTTCATATGGTAATTGCATGTTTAAATTTATAAGAAACTGCCAAACTGTTTTCCTCAGTGTCTGTACCATTTTACATTTCTACCAACAATATATGAGTAATCCAGTTTCTCTCTTGCCAGTGTTTAGTCTCAGTATTTTTTAAAATTTTAGTCATTCTGATATGTGTAATGGTATCTCACAGTGGTTTTGATTTGTGTTTCCCTAATGGCTGCTGATGTTTGTTTGATATCTTCTCATGTGCTTATTTGTCATCTCTTTATGTACTCTTCAGTGCAATGTCTTTTGGCCATATTTTAGATGGGTTGTTTATTAACTGTTGACTTTGGGGAGTTCTTTATGTAGTGTAGATTCTAATGTTTGTCAGATCAATGATTTGCAATTATTTTATCCCAATCTATATATTGTCTTTATCCTCTTCCCATGGGTTTCCACTCAGTAAGATTTTTAATTTTGATGAGGACCAATTTTTCCTATTATAGATTGTTTTTGGTATCAAGTCTAGAATTCTGACTAGCTTATCCCTAGATCCCCATGATTTCCTCCTAAAACTTTAATAATGTTATATTTTACATTTAACTCCATGATCTATTTTTGAGTTAGTTCTTCTTGGGTTTTTTTTTTTTTTTTTTTTTTTTTGGTACTGGGGAATTGAACCCAGTGGTGCTTAACCACTGAGCCACATCACCAGCCCTTTTATATTTTATTTAGAGACAGGGTCTCTCTGAGTTACTTAGGGCCTCATTAAGTTGCTAAGGCTGGCTGTGAACTCTCGATCCTCCTGCCTCAGCCTCCCTAGATGTGTGCACCACCATGTCCGGCCTTGAGTTAGTTTTGTATGAAGTGTGAGCTTTAGGTTGAGGCTCATTTTTATTTTTCTTCTTGCCAATGGAGTTCTAATTACTTCAGCATCATTTGTCGAAAATGCTGTCCTTTCTCCATTGAATTGCCTGGCATGTTTATGTTCATTCTATTCCACTGAGCTCTGTATCTGTACTTCTGCAAATATTGCACTCTCTTGATTACTGTAGCTGTATTGTAAGCCTTAATATCTATCCAGCAGAGTGATTTGTCCTACTTATTTCTTCATCAAGATTCTCTTACCTATTGTAGGACCTTTGCCTTTACATGCAAATGTAAGTTGAACTGTAAGTTGAACTGTGTCTGAAGTAAATTGTGTTTTGCCAGAAATTACACTAAATGTAATATTAGTTTGAAAGGGATTGTCATGTTTATTGTGTTGATTCTCCCAATCCATGAACACAGTATATCTATATTTATTTCTTTGATTTCTTTCCTCACTTTTTTATAATTTTCAGTGTATAGATATTCTACATGTTAAGTGCATGCATAAGTTTTTCATTTTCATGGAACAATTCCTTTTATTTTCTTGCTTATTGCATTAGCTTCAACTTCTGGTACTATGTTGAATTAGAGTGGCAAGAGAAACATCTTTGACTTGTTTCCAATTTAGCATGAAAACATTCAGTCTTTCACCATTACCTAAGATATTAGCACTGTTTTTTTTGTTGTTGATATTCTTTATCAAGTTGATATAATTCCTAATTTTACCACTGTTTTCATCATGAATGGATGTGGTATTTTGTCAGATGCTTTTTCTGTGTCAGTTGATAGGTACATATGATCTTTCTTCTTTAGGTTGTTGAAATGGTGGATTATGTGGATTGATTTTCATATGTTGAACCAGATTTGCATACCTGCAATAAATCCGGCTTTGTCATGGTATATAAATCTCATAACTTAACTGCAATCTCATTGACTTACTGCATTCAGTTAGTCAATATTTGCTGACAATTTTTGTGTTTAAGTTCATGGGAAATGCGACTCTATAGTTTCCTTTTTTTACTACTGTCTTTGAATGTTTATAGTATCAATGTGATACTCGTCTTATAAAATGAGTTGGGTAGTATTTCCTCCTCTTTTTTGGAAGAGTTCACATAAAATAGTTGTTAATTCTTTGAATGTTTGGTAGAATCCTCCAATGACACCATCTGTACTTGGAGATTTTTTGAGGGGACGACTTTTAAATTGTGAGCTCCATTTTTCTTTAATGGTCAGAGTACCATTCAGGATCTATTTCATATTGTTTGAATCCTGGTATTTGTAGTTTTTTTAGGAATTAGTCCATTTTAACCAACTTAAAATTCATGAATGTAAAATTCATAGAATTCCCTTACTTTCTTATTTACAGAGTATGTAGTAATGCACTATTTCATTCAAGATATTGGTGATTTGTGTCTTCTCTTTCTTTTTGTCAGTCTTTATAGAGGTTTACCAGCTATTTTTTTTAAGAATGGGCTTGCTTTTAGTTTTATTTTTGTTTCTGTCCTTTATTATTTTCCCTTTCAGCCTGCTTTGAGTTTATTTTAGTTTTAGTTCTTTGAGGTAGGAACTTAGATTATCGATTTGAGATACATTTTTTTTTGTACTGGGGATTGAACCCAGGAGTACTTTACCACTGAGTTACAATCCCAACCTTTTTTATTTTGAGACAGGGTCTTACTAAGTTGCCCAGACTGGCCTCAAATTTGCAGTCTTCCTGCTTCATCCTTTCGAGTCACTGGGATCACAGGCATGTACCACTGTGCCTGGCCACCTTTCCTTTTTTCTATTATGAGCACTTATGGATACAACTTTCTTCTGATCATTTCTTTAACTAAAATTAATATATTTTGATATATTTTAATTTCATTTTTATTTAACTTTCAGTATTCAAAAATTTCCTTTGAGACTTTCTCTTTGGACCATGGATTGTTTAGAAGTGTATTTCATTTCCATATTTTTAAATTTTCCTATTGCTTTTCTAGTTTGATGACATTTTTGTCAGGTTTCCCTTTCGTATAGGTTGTGATTTTTTTTGTTCTTGGCCTGATGAGTGATTATTTATTGTATACAGATAATTTTGTGTATTAGGATAGAAGAATCTGGTTCCTATTTAAATATTTTATTTTAGCAGGCAGTCACTGGGTTTTACTTTAGCACACAGGTTCTTTCTTACTTTTATGAGGTATGTTTCCAATAACAGTTTAATTTTCTGAGCCTTTATGATGTTAATTGGTCTCATTGGTTTATGTGGTACTGTTGGGGCTCCCATGGATCCTAGCTATTGCTGACTTAGGGTGTGGAAGACATTTTCCTTGAGCAGGATATCTCCTAGTGGGGAAGGGGAGACTCAGACTCATGGGGATGAAGAGGCTTCCTAAGCTAGGTGGCTGGTGGCTTGGTCCCTTTTGCCAGTTCTGCCTCTTCACATAACTTCTGTTGAAGGGAGGGAGTCTCATGTGTATGAAATTTGAAAAGCTTCTGTTCCTTTCCCTTGATGGGGCTGGGTCTCTTTTGCCAATCCTGTCCATTCACCTTGGAATCTCTCACTGAGGTTGGGGAAAGTCTCTACCCCAGCATGGAAGGCAGGTATCTGTCTTGGCTACTTACTATGGATAAATCCCAGGCTAATCCTCTTGGCCAATTTTGTCTTGTTTCTCTGATATTGTAAGAAGGATTTCCATTCACGCAACTTTCTATTGATATTATAGGGATTGGAAAGCCCTGGATCTGAGTAACTTTCTTCTGCTGGGATATAAGACTCTCTACTATGCTATTCTTCTATCCCTGGACTCCAAACCAGTTTGCCTTCTTCTTAACATTTTTTTAAATTGGTGTATTATAATTTTACATGATAGTGGGATTCATTATGCCATATGTGTACATACACATAACACAATTTGATCAGTCTCATTCCTCATTGCCATCCCGTCCCACCTTTTCCTTCCCTGGATCCATTTGCTCTACTCTACTCATTATTATTTTAATTAGTGTGTGGTAATTATATTATTATGTTATCTATAAGTGAGGAATTCATTGTGGTATATTCATACATGGACACAGCATAATTTGGTAGATTTTACTCCCCAGTATTTCCCTATTCCCTTCTTAATACTTTTTAGAATTCTCTTTTGGTTGTTTCTTGCATTATTTAATGGGTTTGTTGTTTGCAGGGAGGATTGGGGAGAAATGGATCTGTATAATTTTGTTCAGACTGGACCAGAAATCACTTGTTTCTGTACATCTTAATAGCAATCATCATTGACTTTTCTTTCCAATATTGTAGTTTTTGCTCTGGGAACCAGATGGCTGATTCTTCTATTTATTCTAACAGGGTTAAAGCTCAAAAATGGCACTGGAAATGATCAGCTTAAATCTGTTTCTCCATCAGAAATACAAGCACCAGGATGCAAAGTATCAAAGAAGACCAGAGTGAAAGTTGTCCAGAAAACAATGGGCAAGGAAAATCATGATGATATATACAGGGTACAGAAACAGGGTCGAGCTTTACCAAGGAAGAAAAGAAAGAAACTTTCAACTTGCAAACAAGAGCTTCCAAAACATATGGATCTTCACAGGAAAGGATACACAGGAGAGAAACCTTTTAAATGTCAGGAATGTGGGAAAAGCTTCAGAGTTAGCTCTGATCTTATTAAGCACCAGAGAATTCACACTGAAGAGAAGCCCTATAAATGTCAACAATGTGATAGGAGGTTTAGATGGAGTTCAGATCTCAATAAGCACTTCATGGCACATCAAGGAATAAAACCATATAGATGTTCATGGTGTGGGAAAAGCTTCAGTCACAACACAAATCTACACACACACCAACGAATTCACACAGGAGAGAAGCCTTTTAAATGTCAAGAATGTGGAAAAAGATTTATTCAGAACTCTCACCTTATTAAACACCAGAGAACTCACACAGGTGAGCAGCCTTATACTTGTAGCATGTGCAGGAGAAACTTTAGCAGACGTTCCAGCCTTCTTAGACACCAAAAACTCCATAGGAGTAGGGAAGCATGTTCAGTGTCTCCAGTCTGAAAAAAAGTGACTATATGGAATAACAGAAATGATAAAGGAATTCAAAATTATGAGACATCCAATGATAGGAAACCGATTATCAACAGAAAGTTTGGGAGAGGTTTATGTTCTGCATCACAGAAAGGAATCTAAGCTATCTCTATTATTCAGCATTGTATCTTCAGTGCCTAGCACAAGACTGGTACCTAATGAGTACATTATAAATAAAAGTTTGAAAATATAGGTATCAGATACATCAATAGCTATTCATTTATCTAATTATTCAGAGCTTATTCACTCTCAATGACAAAGTCTTTAGGTATCAGGTGTTCAGCAAATGCATGCTGGTCACAAGTCCTACTGTCATTCTTCATTCTTTCTCAGGAGAAATGGAAAATAAGAGTATTCTAGGCCTCCTGAAGGTAACTCAGAGAGGAATTCTGAACTATGGACAGTTTATAGTTGTGATTCTGTCTCCATGAACAACCAAGCCTAGGGTTCAGGAGAACTTCAATAGTTTTTTTTATTTTAAGGAGAACTTTGTAACAGCAAGAGAGGATTCAGTGCTTGTCCTGGATAAAGTGCTTCTGTTCTAATTGTCTTTTTCCAGAGTTTCCACCACTGCAATGTCTTTTGTTATTGAATTCCAAGCAACAAGGAAAGGCCTGAAGGCCAAAACAGACCTAGGGTCCTTGCAAGCACTTGAACTCTACCTTTGCCTTTCAACATAGTCATATAGACTGAAGTGATGATAGAGGCAGTCTGGGCCCTCATCCAAATATCTGTCTATTTGTATAAAGAATAGAGCAGTGGTTAATTGATTTTTTGGTTTTGATTATGTACTCTGGAGGTTTTCAAGTCAGTGCCATATTGTTCTAGGGCCTAATTGAAGTTTCATTTTTATAGCTTACGCAGCCTTAACTCTATACACTTGAATGCTCTACAGGAAGGTCTGAGCATTATTTTACTGATAATGGCAAGGAGAGTCTGTAGCCTCTCTACCTTGGTGCACATCTGACACCAGGAGGGAACATCCAGAAATATCCAAGAAAAGTAAGGTGTGTGGCTTAGAGTTATGGTACCAGTCAGAGCCAGGCTAGATGCAAACTGTTTTCTGATGTAGTTTTTCCTTTTTCTCCACTGGTTTAAGTGATTATCTCATAACATAATATAATGTGAAGGCTGAGGATATAGATGAGTAGTACAGAGTTGCCTAGTATGCACAAGGCCCTGGATTTAATATCCAGTACTTCCCCCCACAAAATAACAAAAAAGAAAATGTGATATCAAAGGAAATGGAATACATGGATTTTTATCTGTGTCAGAGCCTGGATTGTGATGTTGGCCAAGGCTTCAGTTTATTTATTTAGTATTTCTCCCCTTCCCCAGTACTGGGGATTGGACACAGGGACAGTATACCACTGGGGTACATCCACAGTACTTTCTGTTTTCTTCTTGAGACATCATCCCACTAAGTTACTCACACTGGCCTCAAACTTGGCACTGTACCATTGAGCTACATCCCCAGCCCTCCACTCTCTGTGTGAATTCATGTCTGCATCCCGGATAGCTGTTATCACCATTCAAAGGACTGGGTCACACTAAGTTGCCCAGGCTGGCCTCCTGCCTTAGCATCCTGTTTTGTTTGCCACCATGCCCAACCTTTATTTAGAATTTCATGCAATTTTACTTTCTAATAAATTTCATGCAATTTTACTTTCTAATAAAAATGAAATGTTTCATATGAAATTTAAGCATTAAACAAAGCTCCTTTTATATCAAACTACCCAGAAATGTCCAACATTGACTTCTTTGAAATAGATGCTTTCACATTTTTTTTCCTCCAAGAGACCTTTCTGAGTCTTTTTCCAGTTTACAAAATAGGGATGAAAATTTATACCTCTCAGGGTTCCTGTGAGGATTAAATGAGACACACATGAAAGCATGCCTAATGAGTAACACAACAGATGTTCTGTAAACATTTGGAACATTCTTCATTCATCTCTCATTTAGTTATTTAGAAAATAAACTTGGTCTGCTTTTCCGGCTTTTAAGTGTGCTTAATAAGTGTTCCATTGTTTTCAGTTTTTTTTAGGTCTGTTAGTGATAGAAGGGTCATTTCTGGCACATGACATTCCCTTCTAGAGATTTTCTTCTGTAGTTAACATTAAACAATAAGCTAATGTCTCATTTCAGCTAGATACACTGCTCATGAGTAACAGAACCAAAATGTAATAGAAACTCTCAACTTGAGATGCCTGAAAATGGAGGGGAGGTGATGGTAAGGGGTGGAAATTTTGTGGACAGAATTTATGCCATTAGGTGCATCCTCAAACTAATTGTATTTGAAATGAGAAAGGAAAGAGGTGACCACTTCATAAAATGACCACTAAAAAGAATGAAAGAGCTAAACCAAGAGGAGGAAGTGATTTGAAAGGGAAGGATCCCATTATATTTCTAAAAGCTTGGAGACTGTGCCTTGTAGAACTAACTGAATTTATACCCTTTGAACTAAGAAGGGGAAATCCCACTTCCTGCAGAGAGCTCCACTCTCTGTGTGAACCCATGTCTGCATCCTGGATAGCTGTTACCACATCACCATTCAAAGGACATTCATTTATCAATGTAGCTTTTAGAAAAAGGATTGACTCAAAAATTCAAGGAAGCACTGAGTCAGTGGAGCCAGCAGGTAACAAGTCCCCAAAAGTGGGTCAGCAAGAGGGCTCTCTGTTTCCACTAAGCTGCTGGCCCCAGTTATAATACTTATTAGCTTCAAAGTTCATCTTACAGGTCCTATGTACACTGGCACCATTCCCAGGAGGGGGGTCACAAGCAAGTAACATGTGGGTCCTGTTTGAGAGATCAGTTATTCAAGGAAAGTGACAGAAAATGATTGCCTTTAGATGTGTCTGGGGAGAAATGAGGTCATCATCATTTGAATACAAGGGCTGCAGGAAGAAGTACATTCTCATCCCAAATTTGTGAAACACAATTTAGAAGTCAGAGATCATGGTCAACTCATCAATATCCAGTGTTCCCTTTCAGCCCTTTGACGGTCTTCCAGGCCCCATTTCCCACTCATCCCTCACTCTTTCATGCAGCCTTCACCATCTCAGAAAAAGAAGGAAAGTCCCATATCTGTGGAGAAATGGACAATAAGGAATGAAATGGCAGGATGGGATACAGGGAGAGATGTCATTCTACCTCATACCTGCCTACTACCTCTCCAGCATATGGCTGAGACATGGGCCAGGGACAGGGCCCAGTGAGTGCTACTGTGTTCTGCTGTTTTTCCCAGGGGAATTGGCATAAGAAATGACAGTGGATAGGCATGGCTGGGGAGAGAAGAAGGAACAAGATGGAGTCATGATCTAGTTTTTCCTCAACAGATTTAAATGCATTCCTTGCTACCTCCTCTCTTTATTCCTTGAAAACCAAGAAATGGCAGGTAGGTGGGCATGATGATGACTTGGGGAGGAAGTTGCTTCTAATTTGAAGGCTCTCTATAAAAGTCCTATCCCTGGATCAGCAGTGGTTCATAGTCACTCCTCCTGAGCACTCTCCTTCTTTGCCTTCCTTTTCTTCCTCTGTGCCCCATGTTCCTTAAAACCATTGTGGGTTCAGACTAGGGACATAGCTGTGGAAGAAGGAACAATGGGATAACTCTCCCAAGATCAATGATCATGAGTATATGAGGGGAGAGGGAAGGAACCATGGTTTCTCAGATTTTAGCAGAGAAAGGAGAGAGTGAAGGAGGCAAGGCCAGCTTCTGGAAGTGAGTTGTGCTCCAGGGCTGGGATTTAGGGAGGTAGTGGAGATGGAGATCTAGGCAACACCAAGAAGGGTTTTCTTGTTTCTTCTCAGGCTCTAGGTATCTCTGTATGAGACTTGGAATGGCATGAAGGAACCGACTCTAACATGAGGGCTGCAGCAGACACTTCAGAGAAAGTTCATAGAGCATAAACTTTCATACTTGGGGGTTTGTCTCTTCAGGTTGTACCCAGGAATCTATTCATCTACAAGCTTTCCTTAGGGAGGCCCTCAGTTTCCATAAGGGAGTGATTCTGGTTTTCCTTCTTTACCTCATGCCCCATTCTAATGTAAATAACAGGAGTATAGGAGTATAAGGATCCTATTTTGGCGACATTCCCCATGTTAGAGGCTGCTGCAAGTGGTCTCTTGGTTGCCTCCTATAAATCCATTCTTAGGGTGGTGTGGGTTTTTGTTCTTAGAGGATGCCAAACCTGTCTTTCTCTCAGGATGTCTCCTCATCAGGGGCTCCATTTCCAAGCTCTTTAAGAAAGAGCTGCTCTTTTAACAGGGAGTGCCATGTCCTCTCAAAGTGCTTCTTGTCCCTGTGCCCTGTATGATTGAGAAATCATCCTCTTTCTACCCATTTTCAGGTGAGAAAGCATAGGGTAGCAAGCTAAATGCTGGATGAGCCTAATGACTTTAGGGTTAAATATTAACTTAATTTTCACCTTGTTCTCATCCATTTCACAAATATGCACATTTTTAAGCGCAGGTACAAAATCTCCACATGTTCCCTTAACTTTGAAGCTCTCTATGCCTCTTTCTAATCTCTCCTGTTTCTGTCTCTAGGACTGCCAACGTTCTTGGTGCCCTTCACATACTCTGGTAGATGGGTCTGCACTAGTTCTGCGGTTTCCCTAGGTAGGAAGCCCTGGAAATGTTCTTGACCCAGCACCTTTACCATCTGGCACATCAGTCACCAACCACAAAGTTGGCTTCATTGACTCTGGCAGCATCTGGGGGTGGAATTGAATCAAATACCTAGGATGCAACTCTTGTGCCTCCCCAACCATCAGATATGCCTGATGGCCCTTTGTCACTCAGTCTGCCCAGCACACTCTCTCTCTGAGAACTTCCCTGGCAGAATTCACACGGAAGCCTGAAAAGATATAGCAGGGAAACATAAGCTCCTCCTTCTCTTCAGGGAGATTTGCCTTGCTCTGAGCACTTCTATCTCTTGCCTCATTCTGGAGCCAGGCAGGAGCAGGATCCATCCAGCAACCTAGAGGTAGACTTCACCATGGACACTATGAAGGAGACTCAGCATGATTTCTTAGGCCTGCCCAAAGTTCTCATAGGAGTTGAGGACTGCCTCTAACAGTACAGGTGGGTCCTCATCTCTCAGATTTGCAGCTTCTCAACCCCGGTAGGTCAGCAGCAGCCTTGGCACTGGACGCCCAGAGAGGCCTCTAGAGATATCTGAAGAGCAATTTTTTGGGAGTCTTTCATCAGCTAGGTCTTCAGAACA